TCATCAGTGCTAGAAAGGGAGGGGGGTTTGCTGCAAATGCTCCTCCGAGCACTGATGATGTTCCCTAGTTGGGTCATGAAACGTCTTCTTCAACAACAACAACAAAAACCCAGCTCAGAGACCAGCAAGGACCCCTCAAGTTAGAAAGCGTTAGGTTCCAATTCAGTGCCTAGAATTTTAAATATTCTGTCGAAGGTGGAACTTTTCTCACTGGCGTTAATGGATAGACGATTAGGGGAAAAAAAGATATGAATTATGAAGATGATTTGAGGCACAAACGGAGGACAAGATTCTGAAATATTCATCGGGTTGCGGAAGAATTGCAAACTTGGCACACACAAAAATGGGACTTGCTCGATTAGTGGAAAAAGCAATAACTACATTTATCAGGGACGCAAAGTCCTTTATGGAGGTTTTCGTTTTGCTGAAAATGAGGGGGCAAAATGTGATTTTATGGGTCGGGTGATCGGAAAGGATAGAATATGGAAGAAAGGGAGGCATGATGTCATTTTAGGGCTGTGTTCCTCAAATTTGGCAGATTTTAAAGTATGTGGATTTCAACTCCCAGAATTCCCTAGCCAGGAGGATTCTGGGAGTTGAAGTCCACCCTTCTTCCGGCTGTCATGCCTTAGAGCAGTGTTTCTCAACCGTGGCAACTTGAAGATGTCCGGACTTCAACTCCCAGAATTCCCTAGCCAGGAGGATTCTGGGAGTTGAAGTCAGCCAGCTGGCTGGGGAATTCTGGGAGTTGAAGTCCAGACATCTTCCAAGTTGCCAAGGTTGAGAAACACTGCCTTAGAGAGAAAAGTTAGAATATAAACATATTTCTAACCGCTGTTCAAGAAAATTGGAGGCCTCTTCATGATATCTTTATCAAACAGGCTCATTATAAAACTGTAATCTTTTACACCTTTGGCTGTGAGTCCTGCCCCGGTTTCTTGTTGGTTCAAGGTGTAAATTAATGATTGGCGAAGTAGTTACCTTACCTCTGGCCTGGAGACCTCACTAAATGGCCAATAAATTTTTCTGCTGTCAGAAAGCTGTTTTCCTCAGCTCCGACTTCCCACCAGTTGCATTGCAAAGACTGTTCCTCATTTTATGTCAGCCGGGATTCCTGCCCACTCTGATATTAATATTTTTTTTAAAGATGCTTTCAGGATATATATATATTTGCCAGAGTGTGTACAGTGAGATAACTCGGGAGCAAAATACAGAACACAGAAATTTGTCTTACAAACAGTGGTTTATATATAAGACATCTATATACAAGGCATAAGTAAAGTTAAAGGTTCCCCTTGCACGTATCTGCTAGTCCTTCCCGACTCTAGGGGGCAGTGCTCATCTCCGTTTGAAAGCGGAAGAGCCAGCGCTGTCTGAAGATGTCCCCGTGATCATGTGGCCGGCATGACTCAATGCCGAAGGCGCATGGAATGCCGTTCCCTTCCCACCAAAGGGGGTTCCTATTTTTCTACTTGCACTTTTTACGTGCTTTCGAACTGCTCGGTTGGCAGAAGCTGGGACAAGTAACGGGGGCTCACTCCGTTACGCAGCGCTGGGGATTCAAACTACTGAACTGCCGACCTTTCTGATCGACAAACTGGGCATCTTAGCCACTGAGCCACCTATAATACAAGGCATACAGGAGATAGATAGATAGATAGATAGATAGATAGATAGATAGATAGATAGATAGATAGATAGATAGATAGATAGATAGATAGATAGATAGATAGNCTTGGAGAGCTGCCAGATAACTAGCTTCCAAACACGCAGGGCAAGGGGAAAAACTTGGCACAGAGTCTCTTATAGTCACAAACAGAACTTTCCACCCTTGAAACGACCGAAGGAACGAATTGTTTCCTGCAGAAGCCCCCTCCCCATTCACTCCTCTTTTGCTTCCCCTGGGAGGGGCCAATCACCTCCAGGGCGTGGCTTTACTCCCAAGTCGACCCCGTTTCTTAGTTTTTCTTGTCTTCCGGCAGCTCTGTGCAGGCGCACACTGGGAACAGGCTCCAGTTGCTCTTCTGCCTCGCTGCTGTCTAGCTCCCTCTCTGCCTCCGACGCAGAGACCTCGTCTGAGCTTCCCTCAGCCCCCCAGGACTTGCCCATGTTCCTCCCCCACCTCCTCAAGTGTCCGACTCTGCTGCCAGCTCTGCCGGCAGGCCACAACACCTCCCAATCATCTGGATTTGAAGCTAGTTCTCAGTGAGGACAATCTTCCATTGCACACAGCTTTTGACTTACACTGACAATCGAACCCCCCCCCCCAAATTTCTGTTGCTAAGCAAGGCATCTGTTAAGTGATTTTTTGCCCCGTTTTACGACCTTTCTGCAATTGTTTACTTAAGTCACACGGTTGTTAAGTGAATCTGGCTTCCCCGTTGACATCACTGGTCGGAAGGTCGCAAAAGGGGATCACGTAACTCCGGGACATTGCAGCTGTTGTAAATATAAATCCGTTTGCCAAATGTTCGAATTTTGTTCCCGGGGATCAAAATGGATAGTTGTGGAAAAAAACGGCCGTAAGTCACTTCCCCCCCCCCCAGTGCCGTAGTTAACTCGGAACGGTCACTAAACGGAACTGTTATAAGTTGAGGACTACCTGTCATGATCTCCTTAACAGCCGCCTCGCTTAGCAACAGAAACTTTGGACTCGCTTATAAATCGAGGGCTATTTGGGTTTTCCCAATTCAGCTTCGGATCACAAAAATGGAGCCACTTATCCATGTTCGTATCTCTCACCCATGGTGGTTAATTTGTCACAACATTAAAAAAAAAGAAGAAGCTGGTTTATGGCTAATCCCAGGCTTAACGGGGGTTAAACAGCCCAGCCTGAAATTATTCGATCCGGCGTCAACCGGAGAGATGGTTCTGCGTCTTCGGTGCGAATCTTATTCTTGGATTATGTCTCCCATCATCATCCTCAACGGGGAGCAACAGGGCTGACGGGGGATGATGGGGCATTGTAGTCCAGCAAAACCAGGATGTGGTAGCCGATGGGAGAACGGCTTCCACCCCTCCGCTCAGTTTCCCGGGCCCCGAAAAGAACGCTCTTTGCCCGATTTCATGAATCACAACTTTATTTATGTACTTAAAAGCCATGCGCCACGCCCCAGCCTTAAAATCGGGTGCCACGACGGTGAATTTTTCTCCTGTCCTCCCCCCCTCCAAGCTATGCAATTTTGCATAACTGATACCTCTTGATTTTACTTCCCCCCACAAACACACACACTTTTCCCCCCGAGAGTATAAAAAAGGGCCCTTTACCAATTGCTGTTTACATCTTGGTTTGATTCCTTGGCACCGCGTTGCTAATAACTGTAATTATCAGAGCTGGGAGACACAAAGGCGCACGCCAGCGTGTCAAAACTTGCTGGGTGACGATGGTGCAGGGTTTCTCCTTAAATCTGCTTTTTTTTCCCCCCCTCCTTCTTCTTCTTCCCCGGCCCAGAAATGCTGCTTCGACAACTTTGCAGCCTCTTAACCCAACCTCTTTTGAAAATAATAATTTTTTAATTGACTTGACCTCGATGAACCCCATTAGATGAAACGCGATGCGAATTCCTTTGGGGGGCGAGAGGAACGCCCGGCGCAAAACATGCGAGGTGTTTCGTATATCTCGGATCGATAAAATCTCCAAAATGGCCCTTCTTTTTTTGTTTCGTTTTGTTTCTCTCAAGTTTCTAGCCCTCGTGGGGGCTCCTCTGTAAAGCCTCAAAGGTGCTTTTTTTTTTTAGGAGGAGGAAAACAGACCTTATTTTTCTTTTTTGAAGGTGTTTCGCTTCTCATCCAAGAAGCGTCTTCAGCTCTGAGTGGATGGTGGGGACTGGATGTCAGAAGTGAGGAAGCTTCTTGGATGAGAAGCAAAATGTCTTCAAAAGAGAAAAAAAAAAACAGAAAATCCAATTGTCTCTTATTTGGGACAACCATGAATCTCTACAGGCCACAATTGAGCCTCAAAGATCCGTTGATAAGCGAGGCGCTTGTTAAAAATAAAATAGAGATAATCCTCGGTTTACGACCACAATCGACGTCCACAATTTGTTTGGTAACCGAGACACTTTTTTTTTTTTTAAAGCAAGTTTTGCCCCATTTTGGGACTTTGCCAAAGTTATTGAGCGCATTGCTGGGAATGAAGGAGTTCTTAATTAAGTGAGGAACGTGGTCGTTAAGTGAATCTCGCTTCCTCGCTGACGTCTCTTNGAAGGAAGGAAAAGAAGGAAAGGAAAATATGGAGAAGGAAGGAAGGAAAAGAAAGAAAGAAGGAAAGGAAGGAAAGGAAAATATGGAGAGGGAGGGAAGGAAGGAAAAGAAAGAAAGAAAGCAAACAGAAAATATGGAGAAGGGAAGAAGGAAAAGAAAGAAGGAAAGCAAGGAAAGGAAAATATGGAGAGGGAAGGAAGGAAAAGAAAAGGAAGGAAAAGAAAGAGAAGGAAAGGAAAAACAAGGGGAGGATGGACAGGGTCTGTGAGGGATCTACTCCAGCAAGCACGGGATCCCTCCGAGGTTGAGCACTGCCAGGGTTCCAAACAGCATCCTAAAGTAAAAATCAGATTCCAAGGCAAAGTATTGCTCAAAGTTCCAATTTATGAAGAGAGACACGTTGGCACATCTGGGAAAACCCAAATCTGAAAGCTTCCCGGTTTTCCCCCACCTAGTTGAAAGTTCAAGATCTTGCCCCCCCCCCCCACAAGTCCATCCCATGGTCCAATCTCCCACTGCCACACTGGCAGCTTCCTCCCATCCAGTTTCAGTCAGGTGCAGAGACAAAGGATGACCTTGACTTTCTAGAAAGAATGTTGTTATGGCTACATATCATCTAACTCCTTACAATCCCATTTTCCCACCATAGAAAAAGGCATAGTAGAACAATAGAAAGTGTGGCAGGCCATAAGACCCAAAAGAAAAGATGGCGGCAGGCCCGACGGGGGTCTCTTTGCAACCCTCCCCTCCAAAAGAGACTTCTTGACCTTCCTCTCTTCTTCCCCCTGGCCAAACAGGAGGAGACCAATGGCTTCAGAGTTGAAAAATTGACCCATCTCAACGGCCCGAAGCTGGAGCAGAACAAAGCAGGATGTGGGGAGGAAAATTGTGGCTTGTACGCCTCGTCGGAGAACATGGAGTTGTGCGTTCACGCCGAGGATGGTGCGGACAAGGAAGGTCTGGGGCTGAGGATGATGGGTGAGGAGTCCAAGAAAGTCAGCCTCAACGGAGGAGACACCGCGGAAGTGCTAGAAGCCGATTCGAGACCCAGTTCAGGTATGTCTCTCTTCAAATCATCCAGATCCTAATATTTTCCTCTTCCTTCTCGGATGTCTGCCCTTGTTTGCCTTTCCTAACCAGGGTTTGTGTAAACCACGGTTTGTTGAAACGCTCCAAAGTCTCTCTGGCAGGCGAACGGAACAATCATGGCGGTTTGTTGGTCTCTGGCCCAGCAAGCCACGGTTCACGCAAGCTAAGAGCCCCAATTTATCAGAGTGGTTTGTTGTGAAAGCCACCTATACCTTCACGAGATAAAATCCTAGTTTGGGGCTGAATCTGCATGTTGGTTAGTTGGTTCGAGGTTAGGGTTAGATTAGGGTTAGTGTTAGCTCGCCCTACCCCAGCCGGTATATTTAATCGGTATGGGCAAATTGAGGCTGATGGGTGTTGTAAACCGGCAATTCCAATTCAGTCTCGGGGAAGAATTGGGCACGAAAGTCATCACCTTCCCCTGTTTTCTGCAAGGTATTTGGCATTTGGGGTAGACTGCTCCCACCCATGGAGGTTCCATCCTGATCGAAATATAGAAAACGAATGGCAGAACAAGACCTTGACTGTCCCAACAAGCCTGTCCATGATTGGTCGATCTGATCTCCCGTTCAACTCGTGTTTTAAAAGTATTTTTAGTTAGTGCAGGTAGTCCTCGACTTACAACGGTTCACTTAGTGACCATTTCAAGGTGCAACAGCACCGAAAAAAAAGGGATTTACAGCCAGGTTTTCACACTTACGACCGCTGTAGCACCCCCCCTACAGGTCACGTGATCCAAATTCGGACGCTTGGTAACAGATTCATAGTTACGACGGGTGCAGTGTCCCCGGGGTCACGCGATCCTCTTTTGCGACCGTGGGGGAAGCCCGATTCACTTAACAACCATGAGACCGATTGACACAACTTGCATCGATCCCCTTAACAACCACGAGGAGAAACGAGGGGCAAAACTACCCGAGCGAATGTTCCGCTTAGCGAAAGAAATTTGGGGGTGCGCCCTTTGTGGTCGTAAGTCGAGGACTACCCGGATCTTGCAGCCCGTCTTGTCGTAACCAGGGGGTCTCTGCGCATTTCAGGGTTTTACGAAACCAGCGAGATGGGGTCCCTCTCGGATTCCTGCGCCTCGGTGCACAGCGACGGAGCGGGGGCCTCGCGGTGTAGCATCGGTTCCCTTTCTCACCTGCCCGGACTGCGCGAGAATGGCTTCATCCGGCCGCGATCCACAGACGAGGCTACCGTCCGGTTCCTTGACCTCCAGCTTCAGCGCCTGACGTTCGCCAGCGTAGCCGGGACCGAGAACCGACGTCCGGTGTCCACTGGTAAGGCCCCATCTTCCTGGTTGGGATGGATACGAGGGGATATCCTTAATAGGAACATAAAACGCGAGAGACTCTATTGTCGAAGGGCGAGGGCGCCACTGAGCCAGGCAGGTCTGGGTTTGAGTCTCGCCATGGCCATGGAAGCCCCCCCCCGGAGCAGATTTTGAAACTCTCCCTTTTAATTCAGCCTACCTTAAAGGGTTGTTAAAAGGAAAAAAAGATTCTAGAAGGATGTTTTAATGTTTGGCAGCCTTTAGTCTTTGGAATAAGGTAATTATTATCAATCGAATAAGTAAATTGATCCTGCCCTGCGTTTATCATTCTCAGCCTCTCCTTGATGTGAACTGAAGAATAGAATACAGAATATAGAATATAAATAGGAAAATAGAATAGAATCTAGGAAATAAAATAGAGTAGAGTAGAGCAAATAGAATATAGAATGTAAATAGGAAATATGAAAGTAGAATAGAATCTAGGAAATAAATAGGAAAATAGGAGAGTAGAATAGAATATGGAATATGGAATATGGAATATAGAATAATATAGAATATAGAATAATATAGAATATAGAATAATATAGAATATAGAATAATATAGAATATAGAATAATATAGAATATAGAATAATATAGAATAATATAGAATGTAGAATATAAATAGGAAATATGAAAATAGAATAGAATCTAGGAAATAAATAGGAGAATAGAATAGAATAGAATAGGAGAGGAGAGCAGAGCAGAATAGAATATAGAATATGGAATGTAAATAGGAAATAAGAAAATAGAATAGAATATCGGAAATAAATAGGAGAATAGAATAGGAGAGTAGAATAGAATATAGAATATAGAATAATATAGAATATAGAATAATATAGAATATAGAATAATATAGAATATAGAATAATATAGAATATAGAATAATATAGAATATAGAATAATATAGAATGTAGAATATAAATAGGAAATATGAAAATAGAATAGAATCTAGGAAATAAATAGGAGAATAGAATAGGAGAGGAGAGCAGAATAGAATATAGAATGTAAATAGGAAATAAGAAAATAGATTAGAATCTAGGAAATAAATAGGAGAATAGAATAGTAGTGGAGAGGAGAGCAGAATAGAATAGAATATAGAATGTAAATAGGAAATAAGATAATAGAATAGCATATCGGAAATAAATAGGAGAACAGAGTAGAATAGAATAGAATACTGGATGAGGACTAGAAACTTTGTCGGTTCACATCGAGGCGAGGAACGGTATAAAATGCAGGGCTGGATCGATCTATGTATTCAATCTTTGGAATACTTCATCGCCATGGGATAAGGGAGCACATCCTCCTGGAGGTATTTTTAGGGTGTCTTCTCAATCTTCTAGAAAGTCCAATGGGACTCTACCACCCACCCATCCCGCCCCCCCGAATGAGTCACCCTGGCAGGCTACCTCTCAGCTGTCGATCCAGGGAAACGATCCAAGTTCGGCAGGCACCAGAGTTTAATTGTGTTTTTGCTTCTCCGTGCCACGGAGTCAGCTCTTCCCTTGTTCCAACCTGTTTGTTTACGTGAAGATGTCTCCGTTTTATCGTCCCCTCCGGGCGAAGGTACGAAGTACCCCACCTAATTATGGCTTAAAAGCAAAATCCTCGGCACGTCATTCGGTCTGAATTTGTTAACTGTGTTAAGAGGCTGGGGAAAGGTAGCTTTTAAGATTTTGGCACCGTTCTAGGCTGTGTCAACAGAGGGATAGAATCAAGATCAGGCGAAGCGTTGATACCCCTTTGTAGCAATAGCCCTTAGACTTATATCCCGCTTCACAGGGCTTTTAACAGCCCCCTCCCTCTTTAAAGCAGTTTACAGAGTCAGCCTCTTGCCCCCCAACAATCTGGGTCCTCATTTTACCCCCCCTTGGAAGGATGGGGTCAAATTTGAGCTGGTGGGATTTGAACTGCCGAACTCCAGCTAGCAGTCTGCTGAAGTAGCCTGCAGTGCTGCACTCTAACTCCAAGGCCACGCTTGGAATACGGCATCCAGTTTTGGTCGCCACGATGTAGAAAAGATGTAGAGACTCTAGAAAGAGAGCAGAGAAGAGCAAGAAAGAGGATTGGGGGACTGGAGACTAAAATATATGGGGAACGGTTGCAGGAACTGGGTAGGTCTAGTTGAATGAAAAGTAGGACCAGGGGAGACATGATAGCAGTGTCCCGATATCTCAGGGGCTGCCCCAAAGAAGAGGGAGTCAAGCTATTATCCAAAGCACCCGAGGGCAGGACCAGAAGCAATGGGTGGAAATTAATCAAGGAGAGAAGCAACTTAGAACTGAGGA